GATTGGAGTATTAAATGCTGGGTTAAACAACAGAAGAGAGGCCATCTTAAGCGTTTCCTACACCGGGGTGGGGGGGAACAACCTTTCCGGCTACACACCTGGATACGGAGTCTGTCCATAGGTGATGATCTCCATCAGCAAGATCCCAAAGGACCACACATCGGACTTTATGGTGAAGGACCCATAATTGATCGCTTCGGGAGCGGTCCACTTGATGGGGAACTTGGCGCCTGCCAAAAAGTCCAAACCAACATAGTTAGATTTAGCCTGAAAACGGAAGCTGGCAAATAGCTAATGTTATCAGCTTGGAAGGTACCAGGGAGAAAGATGGGGACAGAGAGTTCTAGTCCTGTCTTAGGCACAAAAGCTGACTGGGTGACATAGGGCGAATCACCAGGAGACTGGGAGTTCTAGTCCCACCTTAGGCATGAAAGTTGGCTGGGTGACTTTGGGCCAATCACCAGTAGACGGTGAGTTCTAGTCCCACTTTAGGCATGAAGGCTGGCTGGGTGACTTTCGGCCAATCCCCAAGAGACGGTGAGTTTTAATCCTGTTTTAGGCACGAAATACGGCTGGGTGTCTTTGGCCCAATCACCAGGAGTCAGTAAGTTCTAGTTGTGCATTAGATAGAAAGCCAGCTGGGTGACTTTGGGCCACTTTTCCTCAGACCAGCCCACTTCACAGGGTTGTAGTGGGGAAAAATAGGGAGAGGGAGGTGTGCTGGATATGTTCCCCGATTCTCCTGATCCTGCGTGGCATTTTTCTCCTTGACCCATTGAGGGGGTGAGGGATGGAGAAAGGAAGAGGAATCATCAAATCTTAAAAAATAAAATGCCTGCATGAAAAAGTGATTTTCCTTTACTTGTAAAAATCTTCACTTTCTCCGTATTTAGCAGGGCAGAATATCCAAAGAACGGAGCTGGAAGGGACCTTGGAGGTCTTCTAGTCCAACCCCCTGCTAGACAAATGGCTGTCCAGTCTCTTCTTAAAATCCTCCAGGCAGGGTGAAGGACAAAACTTTGATAGCATCTGGTGGCTGCCATCTTGGATTTTTTTCGACCACCTCCTGCATATCCCAACTCCCACAGACCCAAATGCTGGACACTCAGTCCCACCCTCCAAAGACCCCAAGACCATCTCCCGCCTCTCTGATTGGGGAGGGTTGATTAGATTAGATTAACAGAGTTGGAAGGGAGCTTGGAGGTCATCTAGTCCAACTCTCCCCCACCCAAGCAGGAGACCCTACACCATTTCTGACCGATGGCAGTCCAGTCTCTTCTTGAAAGCTTCTAGTGATGAAGTTCCCACAATTTCTGAAGGCAACTTCTGTTCCATGGGTTGATTGTTTCTCACTGTCAGAAAGTTTCTCCTTATTTCTAGGTTGAATCTCTCCTTGACCATCCATTATTCCATCCATTGTTCCTTGACTGCCCTTCAGGTGTTTTGGAAAATAGGTTGACCCCTTCCTCTTCTCTGTGGCAGCCCCTCAAATATTGGAAGACCTCTATCCTGTCTCCCCTGGTCCTTCTCTTCCCTAGACTAGCCAGGCCCAGTTCCTGCAACCGTTCTTCATATGTTTTAGTCTCCAATCCCCTAATCATCCTGGTTGCTCTTCTCTGCACTTTTTCTAGAGCCTCAACATCTTTTTTCTAGTGTGGTGACCAAAACTGGATATGGTACTCTCAGTGTGGCCTTACTAAGGCATAAATTGGTGTTAAAGTGTAATTAATCCACATTCTCCATAAAAATAGGCACACTAGGGTTGTGTTGGCTTTGTACCTTCCCGTGCAGTGTATTCATTGTCGTCTATCACTCGGGCCAGGCCAAAGTCCGCAATCTTGCACACCAGGAGGGCTGACACCAAAATGTTAGCAGCTCTGAGGTCCCGATGGATGTAGTTCCGTTGCTCGATGAACGCCATGCCTTCGGATACCTGCAACCACGAGGGACAGCTCCATTAAAGGGGAAAAAAAACAACAACCCAAAACCCACCTTCGTTAGGACTGATTTTACAATAGTCCTTTGCAGGCAGTCCTTGACTTAGGATGATTCATTTAGTGACTGAAGTTGCAACGACACTGAAAAAAAAAGCCACAGGTGGCCATTGCATTCTCCCCGTTGGTGATGTGATCAAAATTCAGTATAAAGAAAATTGATATAAAATGTTTTATAGATAACCAGTCAGGTTAGCTAAAATGTTTAAAAAACATGTCTACACAACGTTGGAAATGTAATGAAAAAAACGGGTACATCCTGTCATATATGGTGGATGTGTGGTAAAGCAAAAAGATTTTGGGAAAAAATACACAAAATGGCTGGAAAAGAAGCTAGGAAAGCATGTAGATTTTAAGCCTGAATTATTTTTATTATTATGTATGATACCAGATAAACCAAATAAAAGAAAAGTATGTATTTAATGTTGCATGTTTGGAAAGCAGCGAGAATTGTATTTGCGCAATCTTGGAAAAATGAAGAAAAAACCACGAGATGAAGAAATAATTTTAAAAAATACTAAAATGGACAGAAATGGACAGATTGATATTAAGAATTAAACAGAAAGAAGATACGGAATATACAGATACAGATAATCAGAGTTGGAAGGGACCTTATAGGTCATCTAGTCCAACCCTCCGCCCAAGCGGGAGACCCTACACCATTTCTGACAAATGGCAGTCCAATCTCTTCTTGAAAGTCTCAACTGATGGCACTCCCACAACTTCTGAGGGAAAGCTGTTATTATCGAACATGGAATTTTTTTTATCAATGGTTGGGGGAAAGGGGTGGAGATTAAAAATGTAAGATGTGTCAGGATTCTGGCGGTTCCCCCCATTTAAATTGTGAGTCTCGAGCCAGATTTCCAAAACTTGAAAAGGATTTATTCGGAGTTAACATGTCCGGCACTGCCTGGGTGTAGCCAACTCTGAGGCACATCATTCATTGTCACCCTTGACCCTGGTTCCCCCCACCCCCTGGGTGTATCATAATTCATATTCTCCAATGGGACACCTCCATAGCCCAGAGTCATCGATCATGTTCTCCGGTTAGAATTCTGCGGGGCAGAAACTTCAGTCACCTAGTTACTATCTTTGAAAACATTTATGGAATGCACTTTTGGTTTGCAAGCTGCCGCACTGCTCCGCCCTCCCTTTCTGTTGGCCACTCTAAAAAGACCAGAGAAATATTTTATGAGTTGCCAATGTGCATTGTTAATAAACTAAATACCCAGACCACACGATGTTCATTAAGCGTTAATAAATGTAATTAATAAAAAAAAATTCAGCTGCTTGGCCACTAACTCATAGTTATGACGGTTGCAGTGACCCAGAGTCCTTTGGCGATCTTCCGATGAGCGAAGTCAACAGGGAAACTAAATTCGCTGAACGACCGGGTTCATCACTTAACAACTGCACTGATTTGCTTAACAAACGTCGCAAAAAGTTGAGAAGTTATGATGGTCACACTGTCCCGGGGTCACGCATTATTTTTGCAACCTTCCGGCAAGCAAATTCCAATGGGGAAGATTCACTTAACATCTGTTACTCACTTAACAACTGCAGAGAATCACTTCACAACTGTGGCAAGGGAGGCCGTACAATCAGGCAAGACTCACTTAACAACTGTCTCGCTTTAGCCACAGAAATATTGGGCTCGATGGTGGCCATAAGTCAAAGAACTACCTGCAAATCTTTCTTAAAAAATGTAGTAGTAGTAGGGCCGGGAGGGGACTTGAGGTTTGCCAATTATGAATATCACAATCAATCAATCAATCAATCAATCAGAATAGAGCTGGAAAGGACCTTGGAGGTTTTCTAGTCCAACCCCCTGCTTAGGCAGGAAACCCTATACCATTTTACACAAATCATTTGTCCAATCTCTCCTTAAAAACCTCCTGTGATGGAGCATTCGCCACTTCTGGTGGCAAGCTGTTCCACTGGTTAATTGTCCTCACTGTCAGGAAGTTTCCCCTTAGTTTAATTTAGTTTAGTTTCCTTTATTGTCCTTGCACCTCGTACAACAAAATTAAATACCATCTTCAGTGTACATTATGGCTATGAAAATAAACAGAAACACACATCTGTACATTGAATTGCAAACCCTTGATATTGCATTAATATTGCACCATATAATAGAATTTAATAGAGTTACTGCCCTGGGATAGAAGCTGTTTTTCAGCCCATTTGTCCTTGTTTTTATTATTATTATCCTGTACCGTCTGCCAGATGGTAATAGTTCAAAAAAAAAAAAAAGATACCCAGGATGAGATGGATCTTTGAGAATGTTTCGAACTTTCTTAAGGCAGCGGGAGCTATGAAGCTCTTCCAAAGAGGGGAGAGGGCAACCAATTGATCCTCTGGGCAATGACATTAACCCTCTGGAGTGCTTTCCTATCTGTCACTGTGCAATTGGCAAACCATACAGAAGTGCAGTGAGTTAAGATACTCTCTCTGGTGCAGCAGTAGAAGGTCACCAGCAGTTTTCCATTCAGTTGTTGTTTTCTGAGAAGCCTCAGGTAGTATAATCTCTGCTGGGCCCTTTTGACCAGGGCTGCAATATGAGCACCCACAGATCAGGTCCTCTTTTAGGGTAACACCCAAAAACTTAAAATGGCCACTTGCTCCACTCGGTCTCCATTGATAAGCCAGGGCTGGAGGTCTGACCTGTTCTAGGTTGCTTCTCTCTTTGATTAGTTTCCATCCGTTGTAGAGATTCTTAATCATCCACAGTCATCTACGCTTACATCCTCTATTACCTATGCGTATGTGTGATTGTATAATTTTCCTCCTCCTTGGCTGAAATATATCAATATGATTTTTTTTTTTACTTCAGGAGTCCCCCCGCCCATAATTTTCTGGATGGAAATTCCTTCGGTATGCTCTGATTAAATAAATAAATACTGCAGTGAGCCTTGATGATCGGTGTTGCGGGTGGTGGTGCCTGCGTTGAACGGCACAGGGTCTCCTGCTTCAGCAGGGGGGTGGACTAGATGACTTTCAGGCGCCCGTCGAAGTCTATTATTCTGTTATTCCGAACACTCACCTGGGCAGAGAAGTCGATCAGCTTGGGGAAGGGCTGTTCCTTGCCTTCCTCACTTTTTAGGAAATCCAGCAAACTGCCTGGGGAGACAGAGGAGACCCTGTTAAGGCAAGGAGAACATTTCTGGGACCCCCTCACCCCCCCAAAAAATTTCTCTTTTCGAGGAGTCTAAGCTTACTGGGGCTGTCAGAAAAAGTTCCCCAGGAATGGGTGTCTGTTGAGGTAATTCCCCGTTAGGAGAATGAGCGCGTACAGGGAGACGTATTTGAGAGTAGCGCTTGAATAATACACATACAACACACAAATACACTGTACGGTAAATGTAGGTTTTTACTTCCAGAAACGTTAAGCAAAGTCCCGACAAGCAATCTAAAGTCATTCACAGGTAAATCAGTCAGTTTTCAATCCGGGGGTAATCCAGTAACAAAGTCCAGTGTCAAAAACAGTTCAGTAACAGACTTACTTCAAATCCAGGAATATCAGTCAATTAGGAAAAATGGAGGAACGGCAATACTCTCCAACAGAAGGAAACAGAAACTCACTCACACGCTCTTCTGGGACAAAGACTGAGACAAACCAGGTTTCTGGTTCCATCTTATGGCCGTTTGAGAAACCACACCTAATTACAGTTTTGCATTTTCTTAAAGATACAGTTTTAAAATGTTTATCCTGGTTTATATATTTCTAACCCAAATACCTGTTAGGTGACTTACATTCCTAACAGTGTCCAACTTGGAAATAGTGGACGTGTCTGTCTCTTTTTCCCTGCTTTCCACAAGGAAAGCTGCTAAACAACTAATTCCCACAATGCTGTTGAACTATTTACTAAGGCTGTATTACTATTCTTCTCATCTTTCCTATTACCTATCAACTTATATTCTTACGACTATAACTTTATACTGTTTTATTTAGTATCTTCGTATGATTTATATTTATATTTATATATTTATATTGATTGCTTATTGAGTAATCTATGGCTATCACTAAGTGTTGATTCATGATGAACGTGTTTATGATGACTATGATCATGATTTATCACTTATATCTTTTATGTACAGTGATAGCTTCTGCACTGGAGACAAATTCCTTGTGTGGCCAGTCACACATGGCCATTAAAAAATATCTATTCTATTCTATATTCTGTTCTGTTATTCTATTCTATTCTGTTATTCTATTCTATTATGCTATTCTGTTCTATTGTATTCTGTTCTATATTCTTTATTTTAGTTTACTTTATTGTCATTGCACCTCGTACAACGAAATTAAATGCCATCTTCAGGAAATCTATTCTATTCTATTCTATTCTATTCTATATTCTGTTCTGTTATTCTATTCTATTATGCTATTCTATTCTATTTTAATCTATATTCTTTAGTTTACTTTATTGTCATTGCACTACAATGAAATTAAATGCCATCTTCAGGAAATCTATTATTCTAT